AAATCACTACTAATTCATCGTGTAAATAATTAAAGATATATATGTGTAAATAATTCTAATATAGCACAATAGTCTGATAGACTTCTTCCTCTGTAATAATAAAATAAAATTTTAAAAAATCTAAAAATCAGCGGCATAATTATATGGATTGAAGGGATTTCTGTATTTGATTGATTTTTATTAAGATTGAATATCCAATAAAACCTTTTTAATTCTTTATTTCCAACGTTTCGGTGACCTTCTGTCGCCCTTTTCAAGGCAGGCAAATCTATAATTTTTATTTTTGCCGACTTATGAATTTATTTTAAAACATTTTGTAAATAAGGAAATCCATATTGAAATCATTAGATAATAAAAAGGCATATAATGGATATTAAAAGAAGAAAATCCTTTTTTTTTTCAATCCAATAAATCTTTCTGAAAATATCGCAATCAATTAGATTCACATTCAAATAAAAACAGCACATCTCTCGGATCGAAAAAAAACTGCGTTTTTATTGCATGATTAGAACGTTCGTCTTCTTCCAAAAGATTCTGAAATGGCAAGGAAATTGTTATAATTTTATACAAAAATTTATATTAGCTATTCTACAGCAAGATTTTGCATAAAGATCAATTTTGCATTTCATTCGGATTTTTTACTGTTTTTTATTTTGTTAGGAAATTTATTAATTTTCCCAAACTGTCGAATAGGGTTGAATAAATGGTGCTTATATTTCCGGTATGGCTATTTTTATGTTTTTTTTTTCTCTGCTGAAATCCTGCTCTCCAAGAAGAGTCTGGAATTCTTATTTTTATATTTTCTTGGACTATTGTGGTTTTTTGGAAGTCAGAATATAGTTTTGTTTGATTGAATGTTCTACAAAAAGTAGGTTATAGTTTTTCAAGGCTGATTGGTTCTATTGTATTCGTTCTTCTAATGTTTTGCTGGTATCCTCGGCACTGCAGGATTAGCATGGAATCTTGTAGATGACATTTGATGACTCTTAGCAGAGAACAAAAAACTATAAACATAAAAATAGACATGTCGGAAATACATGCTCAATTTATTCAAACCTAATCTATAGTTCAAGAAAATCAATACATTTCCTAACAAAATAGAAAACGGTCAAAATTCCGAATGAAATGCAAAATTGATCTTTATTCAAAATCTTTCTACAGAATATTTAATACAAATATAGGTGAACATTTTTGTATAATATATATGACAATTATATTTCAGAAGCTTAAATACAACGCTATGATCGTCGAAATATCATGCAATAAGAACGCAATTTATTTTCAATATAAGATGTGCCGTTTTTTTATTTGAATCCAATATATCTTTTCTACATATTTAAATATTTAAAAACGTGTAGAGCGCTCTCAGCGCATATATATTTCAAATACATTGAATTTAAATTAAAAATTAGGAAATATTATGCGAAATATTTGCAAAAAGGTAAATACAAGAAAGAATGCTTTCAACTGCCTTTTAAAAGATTTGCAATCATTTCCTTATCTTTAAACTTTTATCATTCAACTAATTTTTTTAATAGGTATTTATACTATTTAGGCACATCACTTCTTATTGAGAAAATTGGAAATAGAGAAATATATTAAAAGGTTGCATATATTTAATCATATTTATAAGTATAAAATAAAAGGATTTAAAAGCGCGAATGTTTCTTTTATACATAAAACGAACTTCTACTGTCCTTACTGCGATGAAAAAATATATTCGCGCTTTTAAATCCTTTTATTTTATATGTATAGATGGCGCGTTATTACTTTGTGTTATACGTATTTATAAGTCCAACCTGCGCAAAAATGTTTTATTTTTATTTTTTTTTTGTAAACTCTTCCAACAGAAAGTGCATCTCTAAATTGAAGCCATTTATTTGTTGCGTAATTTGCCTATCATTTTATAGAACAGTCAAATTTTATTAGTTAGTTTTATGTGGAACGTAAACATATATCGCAGATAATAATGTTGTCAATGTTAAAGGTAGTGCGACTAAATATAGTAAGAGTTGAAACAATATTGTTTCATCAAACACAGGCATTTCCTGAGCGAAACCTGCCCCTCATTCTACAGGGTTGTCCATAATTCCCGAAAACTTATGTTTTATTAAAAATTAAATGGGTTCGGTATTTATGGGCCACCCTATATATAAGAGTAAAAATTTTAGATAATAAGTAAAATGTCAATGCTACAAATATAATATATAGAAAATTTTCAGGGAGGATATTGATCTATAGAAAGAAATTTTACCTCTCCTGTCACCAAATAGACGCTAAGAGTCTTCTATTGACCGTCTCCGCAAACTAGAGGACTCAGGTCGGCTCACAATATCATGCTCTTGTTCCTTGTCACCAGAATTTCTTGTCTACCTTATGAACCTCTTGTCAATTTATTGTATACTTCTTGTCTACTCAAAGCATATTGGCTCGCATGTTTGAATATATAATTTTATAAGATCAGTTTATATGTCATTGGAGGCGCGCAACAGCTCAGGCATATGATTATGAAAAATTGAAGATTCCAGATTCGAATTTTGGAAGATTCATTCTCCTGTAATATGCATTTTGTGATACACAAACAGTGTTTTAACCAGTTGGTCATCTTATGTACCCCCTGGTAAAACATGTGTTTACAATGTGCGCAACAAGAGTGTATTACAAGTGTGTAAATCGACATCACACAAATAACCAAAGGGAAAGAAAGTGTGGAAAATACTCACAACGTCTGAACTCTTGATGTCCCCCTCGAATGCCCCAGCTAGCTCCAGAGGGTTGATATCTTCTGGGATGTCGAAATACTCGTCTGCATTACAGGGTTGCCGAATTTAGAACCATATATAAAATCACAGAGTATTGTTATAATCGTGGATATAGTGGCTCATTAAAAGCCTTTAATGTCAGAGATAGTATAAGTGATTTATTATTGAGTTTCAAACACAATTCTCTCTTATCGTTTAAAATAATTTTTCCATATAGAAATAAATTGCCTAATTAAATATTGATGTTTTATAATTTATTCTATGATATATTATATTAGAGGGTATAGTGAAACGTAGAAAAATTTAGTTGACATTTATATGTGCATAAAATATACTTCTGCAGAGTCCTAGAAAATCACGTTCATTGATTCTTTAAATACTCCTTATATGTTTTACTCTCAGAAAATGTACATTTTATACGACAAACAATCCCATGAGAAGAAGGTTCATCATTGATGGACCAAATTCTGTTTTCTATATATTTTTCTTTAATCGCAGTAAGCTATCTTCAGAAGTAGTTTTTAATGACCTATAAGATAAGAAATATGTTATTGTATGTCAAAAAGGTATATGAACTTTACTCTAAATATGAGGTGTTAAAATCCTAACTAACTGGCTGTCTACATATGTGGAGGTACTCACTGGAAAGGTTGCCGGCTCTGTAGAAGTCGTCAAACGTCAGGCTCTGATCTGCCGCAAGTCACAAATGTCACCATAGGCCAGGTCATCTAGTGTCGTCTTACCTTCATCGTTTTCTTCCTTTGCTCCTTTTTGATGTTCGTGACCTTCCTCTTTCACAGAATCCTCTTCCAGGGGATCCAGCTTCACAACACCGGGATTAGAGACCAGACTTTCTTACAACCGTACACAAAGCAATATACCAAAATACATTGAATTTTACCGGTAGGAAGTTGATTTTAAAGAAGAAAGGTAATTTCTCCCGTAAAAATATACACAACACCTATGTGCCATCTATCGACCGTCTCTGTAACTAGAAACTCGGGTCGATGTAAAATCCACAAGACCAGCTTTTGGCAAATTCAGGAGGCCGTGGTTTCAGGCTATGGCCCTCGTCAGTCCAGAGTGGGCCTTGATGAGATTCACTAGGAATTCGTGGAATCCTCAGAATTCGCCAAAGTGGTGTTAAGCTGGCAAAATGGCTTGGCCAATTCTATGGCCAAAATAAAGATGCAAATTTTACTGGGAAGGGATATTTTTTTTAAATTCGGAACCAAGACCCATCCTGGACTGATGAGGACCATGATCTCCAGGTAGGTTTTTAAATTTTCCAAGGCTTTAAGTTGGCTTTGTCACCGACCCGAGTCAGCTGGTTGTAGAAACGGTCGATAGATGGCACATAGGTTCTATTCTGAAGGGAGAGTCGTCCTTTCCTTTCACGAGGGTAAGGTGAAAAGTTCTCAGCCTGACATTAAAAGACTCTGATTTTCAGTTTGAAAACATTTTTTTTACAAAATCTCCCTTGACTTCAACACGCTGGTTCAGAGTTTCTCCAATATCAGTATTCCTTCCCTTAAATGAGAGTCTGGAAGGCTGTTAAAATATTCTTCAAAAGCCCTCTCAACTTATTCATTGGAAGCGAAGCTCGTTGCACAAACCATTTCTGCATACAGAAATGGCCTTACGACTGTTGGACACAATAGATATATACGTATATAAGATTTTTTTTTGCCTACTATCGCAGCTGTGCCAAAGACCAGGTGTATCAAATAATCAGATTCCACTGTTGCTGTTGTATAAGTAGAATGAATGCCTTGGGTTGAATCGTTGGGGCGAATATATTTGTTTTTTTTTTATCACATACATGGAGCTTTAAGAAATTTCATTCTTATGCAGAAATCTCCTGAGAAATAGAAAAAGTAGAGAAAAGAGTAAGATATATATATATTTATATACACATATATATTAGATCACACCAAACCTTTTTTCATCAGGGAAATATTTATCATTATATACAAAAAAGAGCCTTTTATGCAAATTTTTACAAGATGTTTAGTGAAAAAAAAAGTTATTTTTAAAACTTCGCAAAAAGAGTTTTAACATTTACTATTAATGAAAAAAAAATATGTAAAAAAAACATCATCTTGAATAAAATATAATATAAATTTAATATATATTTCTTTCAATATATAGAAAAGACACGTATAGAGTTTTAAAGAGAATCAATTTCAAATACAATGAAAATATTTTTTTATATTTAGAGAATAATGTGATTTCTGTGGTTCCATTGTGTAATAGTTAGTGCTCTGGACTTTGAATCAAGCGATCCGAGTTCAAATCTCGGTGGAACCTTCTTTTTTATTTTTTAAGAAAGTATTTTTTGAAGATTTCTTCCTATATAAGAAATATAAGTCTATTAAACACACGAATTTTATATTTTTCAAATAAAACAAAACTTTTTACTGTCCTTACTACGGTGTAAAAAAAATATTGGGAGGAGCTTGGCTTATCAGTGGTGAACTCCCCCCAGCGGTTTCGTTAATTTAATCCACCAACCTACTTTTTACAGCTCTAAAACTTTATTGGACATTCTGTTTTTATAATGCGACACCGCGTACTTTTAGTTTGATATTTAAGCAAACTATGTGAACATAAGCTTTTACCATTGATGAGCCAAAAGCCCTTTCAATATTTTTCTTCGTAGTAAGGACATTAGAAGACAGTATTATGTGTAAAAGAAACATTCGTGCTTTAATGCTTTCATTTCTTATATATAGATGACGTATTATTGTCTTTTAATTATTTTTTCTCGACATAAATAATTCCTCGATTTAGATTAAACTAGACTTATTTTTTGTTAAAGTGAGAACTTTGAAATGGCTTTATAATATATAGTGTAATCATCATTATAAGACTTAAATTCCCGTTGTACAGTAGAATTACGTATAAATTGTTCATCGCGGTGAGGGCAATAAAAAGTTTCTTTTAATTCAAAATGAAAATTAACGCTAAATAGTTCTATTTCTCTTATATAGATGGCGCCTTATTGCCTTATAATTAATTTCTTCCAATGACTTCTCTCTCATTATTTGGTATTTTTATATTAGACGCTTTTGAATACGGCTAATCAATAATCTGCGATATTCCTGACACACTAAGTATATTTGTCCTTGTCGAAATAATTATCAGAATCTAAGACCGATTCAGACATCTGTAAGATCAACCTTTATTTTTTCGTATTCTTCTAGATTTGGTGATTTAGATTAAAAAATAAAAATAAAACTAAGAACTGTTATACCCCATGAAAAATCTATCAACATTTTTGGCCTTGATGACATGTGATAAAAAAGTATAAAAGCGAATTTGTACTGGGATCAGGTGGATAAATTAAGAAAAAGCAATCTCCTGATCGTGCAACTAAACACTAATTAACCAACTTTAGTTACACGATCAGGAGATGTCTTTTTCTTAACTTAATGACATGCTTTTTAAAAAATCATTTTTATGGCCCCATTTTAATTGCGTCCTAAATACATTTATTTTTTGAAGAATAAATATTGATTAGATTTATAATTTATTTGAAAAAAAAAACATCTAAAAAGCAAAAGTATTATTATTTATTAAAAATTGGGTAAAATATAAAAGCTCTAATTTAATTCCAGTAAACCAGCAAAACTACAACAATAGAGAAAACACATTAGCGAATACCTGATTAAAAAAAAAATGTTATTTTTGAATATTTTCCTCTAATAATTTTTTTATCATTTTTCACTTTGAATGTGAAAATAAAATATACGTTATATGGTTAATAAATTAACTTTTAAAATTATAAATTTTTTCGTGGATTTAAAAAATAATAGAGTAATGCTTTTAAAATTTTCCTTTTGTGTTTTAAAAAAGCATATTTATTTTAATAAATTTTAATTCTTTAATGTCCATTAACGAAAAATTCGAAATTTTATAATTTTTAAGATTAGGGTAGATCTAGATATTAAAGGACAGGGCCTGAAAAAACGAATCTTTGAAAATTCACATTATCGAGATAGGAATTAAAGAGAAAATACTGTGAATAAGAATTATTCCTTCAAAAATATATATGTTAGATTAAAAAACACACATCCATGCGTAAAATAAATATATCTAGTATATTCAAAAGTACCTATATTTGTTAATAAAAATCAATTATATTCAATTTAATAGACTCTGTTCAGATAACCTACCTGCAAAAGTTCCTCTGGAATAGGCTCAGGTTGAGCCGCCACAACTAGGAGCAGTATGGCGGCAAAGAAAAAGTAAGGAAGGCGCATAGCGTGATAAAGACGGTGAATTCTGGCAGACGATGGTTATATACCCCACTAGGTTAATCCCTCGACTATCACAGAGGCCCTCCCCTTTAGGAAGAGAAGGAAAATGAGAAGGGAAGTAAACTTCTAAATTGAATAAGTATTTCATTTTATATTTTAATTAAAATTAAAGGTCTTTATCGCTTGCTTTTTCCATTTAGAAACGTTTGATTTAATTAATCTACCTTTTTAAAATATATATATATTTTAATCGCTATTTATCACCATTTGCAAACAGTATATTAAAATAGAAGAAGAGAATATATTTAAAATGTGTGGTATAAATATTATAGATATATAAGTGTTAAATAATTATTTCATTTTTACTTTGTACTATTTATATATTTTTAAATTTTATTTTTAATAGCCACTTATTTTACCACTACGATATGGTAATTACATTTAACTTAGAATTGTTTAAAAGCTATTTTCTATAAAGGGCAACACTTTTGTAATTTTCATTAAGGTATATATATTTTTAATTATCTGTGTTTAAGTATAAAATTTTATATTTAAATATATTCACAAATGTAGGTTTTGTAATTTTAAGACAAAATTTTTCATTTTAATAACAAGTTTTTCCAGTTGATAGAAGACATTTTAATTGATATATTTAAAAAAATATATTTATAAATTTGAACAATTCTACTAAATGAAATTCTAGTTTTGAAATTCACTTTATTTTAATTCGATTTTTTTATTTCAATCTTTTTATATCCATTTTATTTCAGCAATAAAAATAATATATATGTTTTGACCTCTGACTACAACCATTACAATTACAACGCTCGGGTGTTAGGGTGGTCTAAACCATTGGTTTTCCACCGCTACGACCCGGCATCGAATCCTGCATTGGACACTTTTTTTCCTTGCTCCTAAGGCTCCCGATTCTTGCAAAAGTCCAACCCCATCAACGAATGCAAGTAACCAAATGGGGCTCTGGTATAATTGTAAGTGCAAAAGTCGAACTGCTCTTCATATGTGTAGACATGTGGTGCACTTACAGTAAAAGCAGCCGCCAACTTCTACCCATCATGATTATCATGGCCTGTACCACGTCTAATACTATTAATAATAAAAAAAAATAATTTTAATAGAAAACATTTTATTGTAATTTTTGATATATAACCATTTCATACCTTTTTTTATATCCATAAATTTTCCTCTAAAAAATAATTTTATACTTATTTATTATTATTTTTACATTTGGCATAAAAATATGAAACTGTTGTACATATATTAATTATAATAACAATATTAAATATATTATATATTTAATATATAATAACAAATAATTATTTGTTACCACAGAGTGTGTGTAAGCTCACAGGTAAATAGGCGCTTACCAAAACAAAAAAAAAGTTCCTCTGTTCAATATTAGTTTCCCTTTTATATTTTGTTCTCTCTCTTGTAAATCAATAAATATAATATTTAATTAATAATTATTGGAATCAGTTTCATTCATAATTCTAAGCAAAGTCAACAATTGGTAGCAGAGCGTGGTTATTTGATATAAATCTCAAAAGCGAAAATATTTAATCTGAAGATTAAGCAAGAAGTTTATTCTGATCGGTAAACTGAAGCACTTCTAAGAAGATAAAAGGTATTTATATAGATTAAGTTAAATTATATCTATATATTACATGTTTAAAATCTACCCAATATTTAAATAAATTTAAAATATTTATTTGTTTTTAAATTATATTGGTTTGTTTATATTAGCTCTCAAAAGGCGAAAATGGCTGAATATAATTTTTTTATCCCAAACAAAAATTGAACCATTAGCAGGAACTAATTATCAAATATGGGCGTTGAAATTCGGCGCAGTTCTGAGAGGAAGAAAATTATTTAAATGTGTAATTTCCGATCCAGAACCTGATATGGAAGACAAAAGTTCTTGGGAGATTTGGAGTGATAAAAATGATGAAGCTTTTGGGATAATCATCACAACATTGACTAATGAACAAGCTGGAATGTTCATAGGAGAAAAAATGCTGAAAAAGTATGGGACTCACTGAGAAAAACATACACAGGCAATTTGGAAGATGAAATTATTGATATATAGGCTTAGAATTAAAGAACATAGAATGAAAGATAATGAAACTGTAGATGAATATATAACAAGAGCAAAAAATATTGCTGCTAGAAGTTCATCATTAGGGCATCAATTTACCACAAGAGAACTTTCATTTTATATTTTCAGAGGCATACAACCAAAGAGAGAATGAAAATATTGCTATTGTCTTACGATCTAAGAGATAGGCAACAATAGAAGAGATTCAACAAACTCTAAGAGAAGAGGAGTCAAGAAGAAATATGAGATTAAATCAATCAGTTGAGAATGGGCATGAACAAGCATACAGAATTAAAAATAGAAAAGTTAAACAATTTCAGAAAAAAATATGTTTTGTTTGTAATAAAGAGGGGCATCTAGCTAATGATTGCTGGTTTCGAGATAAACAGAAACAAGGGTATCAAAAGAAATGGACTCCATTTTATAGAAATCTCAAATACAGTAGGGAACATTCAAATAACCTAGTGGATACTAAAAAGTGGAATTAATGAGCAAGCATTTGAAACATATGTAAAAGAATTTGAAGATTCGCCAGAAAGGAGAAATGATAGGCAAATATGGTGTATAGATTCAGGATGCACTGCACATTTTACCCGAAACAAACTTTGATGGAAAATGTGATAGATTATGAAAGTGAAATCAATCGAGCTGAGAAGGGCAAAACTACCCAAGGCATAGCCAAAGGAGATATGAGACTTACTACATGCACAAGTGAAGGCCAAGAAAATATTCGCATCAAAGATATCTTACATGTACCAAATCTAAGAAATAATTTCTTGTCAGTATACGAATTAGTCAACAAAGGAAATTCAGTTATTTTCAATAAGGATGGAGCAAAAATTTATAATGAAGGGAATGATTTAGTTTCTGAAGCATATATTAAAGATAGAATGATTATGATGGAAACAAAACAAAGAAATTGACCAATAGCAAAA